GGGTCCTGCAGGAAGCTCTGGGGGAGGATCTGGCCCTGCCTCTCTCCCGTAGCTGGCTTTCCTGACAATCTTTGGTGTCCCCTGGCTTGTAGACACACCACTCCAATTTCTGTTTCCATCTTCACGTCGCCCTCTTCTCTCTGTGTCCCCTCCTCTTTGTATAAGGACAGTTGTCATTGGATTTAGGGCCCACCCTAAATCCAGGATGATTTTGTCTCAAGATCCTTAATTAATTACATCTACAAAGACCCTATTTCCAAATATGGTCAGATTCGGAGATTCCAGGTGAACAAGAATTTTGGGAGGGTACTTTGCCACCCACCACAGGCCCTAAGCTGTGCAGCTTAAACACTGCTGTGGGCCCTCTGCAGCCCTTTGGGGGATATGAAGACCGGCACGTTAATCCTAGAACAATTCACAAGAACAACAGTAGCAGGTGCCATGGATCCCCCACCATATCCCCTCCTCCTACCACTTCCATGCATACGAACCTGACTTCCAACTGGCAGCATCAACAGGCTTTCTCTGGAGTCACTCTGCTCACACACAGCCAATCAGAAAAGGGAAGTAACTAGAGCCTACCCAATGGCTGTGGGCTTTGGTGTATAAACACTCCAGCACCCTTGCCCCTTAGGGAATGTATGTCTTACACTGGGTCCAAGAGTTTCCCAAGAAGATTAAACTTCAGGCAACTGGAAGTTTCATACTGAGCTAGAGGGAATGTCGAACTGTGCAGTCACTTTGGAAAGCAGTCTGGTAATTACTCAAAGGTTTAAACATAGTTATCATAGGACCCAGCAATTCCACTCCTACGGATGTAACCAAGAGAAATGAAAACTTATGTCCACCCAAAACTTTACATGAATGTTCACAGTGCTATTATTCATAACTAGAGGCCTGGTGCATGAAATTTGTGCATGGGGGGGTGGTCCCCTCAACCCAGCCTGCACCCTCTCCAAACTGGCAGTCGGACATCCCTCTCACAATCCTGGACTGCTGGCTCCTAAGGGGGGGGGGGTCTCCCCTCAGCCCAGCCTGCACCCTTTCCAATCCCGAATCCCTCTCACAATCCGGGACCACTCACTCCTAACTGCTCATCTGCCTGCCTGCCTGATCGCCCCTAACTGCCGCCCCCCCCCCACCAACCTGATTGCCCCACACAGCCTGCTTGTTCAGTCATTTGGTCGTCCCTCACTAACCCCCCTGCCGGCCTGGTCATAGGCAACCATCTTGTGAGGGTTAATTTGCATATTACCTCTTTATTATATAGGATAGCCAGGAAGTAGAAATAACCCAAATGTCCATCCACTAATGAATGAATAAATAACTGTGGTCTACCCATATCATGGAATATTATTTGACTATTAAAAGGGAACAAAGTACTGATACATACTACAGCATGGATGAAGCTTGGAAACAAGTTAAACTTCATGAAAGAAGCCACACACAAAATAGTACATATCATAGGATTCCATTGATATGAAATATCAAAAGAGGCAAATCCATAGAGACAGAAAGTAGATTAGTGGTTGCCAGGGAAGAGGGCCATGGGGAGTAAATGCTAATGGGTACAGGGTTTCTTTTTGGGGTGACGAACATGTTCTGAAATTGGATAGTGGTGATGGTTGTACAACCTGTGAATTTACTAAATCCACTGATTTGCACACTTTAAAGGATGGGTTTTATGGTCCGTAAGTTTTATCTTGCTTCCTTCAGGCTGATATACCAGCATACCACAGGCTGGGTGACCTATAAAACACAGACACTTACTGCTCCCTGGGTGCCTGTGTGAATATCCTGTCCCACAACAGTCTTTCTCCCAACGGTGTTAACATCCATTGAAGATTTTTGTCTGGATCATTCATTATCATGGTGACTTAAAGAGTGTTTTTCTATTTCTATCCATCCTTCTACAGTTACTCATCGCAGCTTTTCATCCACCCCTTTCTTTAACATTTTTATTTTAGTATCATTATGAACTCGTGGCTTTTTCTATTGGAGTAATATTCACATAAGATTCACTATTGTAAATTGTACAATTCAGTGGCATTTTGTATTTTCACAATGTTGTGCAACCACCATTGTGACCTCTATCTATTTCCCAGACATTTTCATCACCCAAAGGCAACTTCTACCCATTGAGCAGTCACTCTCCACTCCTCCTTCCCCAGCCTCTGGTAACCATTCATCTGTTTATTGTCTCCATGGATTTATCTGTTCTGGATATTTTATATGAGTGGAATCATACCATATGTGGCCTTTTAGGTCTGGCTTATTTCACTTAGCTTCATGTTTTCAAGGTTCTTCCACACTGTAACATGTATCAGGACTTTGTTTCACTTTAGAGCTGGAAAATAGTCCATTACATGGATTACCACATTCTATTTATCTATTTTTCAGCTGATAGACACTTGGGTTGCTATTTAGTGTTCTTATAAACATGTATGTGCTACGGTCTGAATGTTTGTGTCAACCCAAGAGGGCCTCCCCAGAATCTGACCACACTGGCACCCCGATCTTGGACTTCCAGCCACCCCAACTGTGAGAAATCAATTTCTATCATCTATAAACCACACACGGTCTATGACATTTTGTTAGAGCTGTCCAAAGAGATAAAGGCCCATTTGTTTGGGTGCCATTTGCATAGATTATTTTTAGTATTATAGTCTTGTCACTATTCATGTCAATGCTCATATTGTCCCATATTTGACTAGTGAAAGCTCCTTTGCACTTTCATTTTTAAATAAATTTCTAACTATACAAGTAACACATGATGCATCACTTTAAAAATTAAAACAAAGTCTCTTTGGACCTACCCCTGTCCATCCATGCCTTCTCCCAAGAAGAAAGCATTTTAGTTTGAAGGCATCTTTCCAAACTTTTCTCTGTGCATTTACATAACATGCATGTCCTGAGGAAATGCAGTATTTTGTGAGGTTTTTTTCTCTTATGTAACTGATATACAGTATTATGATACTGTAACTGCTTTCTTTTTAATCTAACAATACAAGTTGATAAAATTAATGAAATTGGTGAGTTCTTTAAAATACACCAGATACTGTCAGATCACCTCAAGAAGTGGGGGAGAGTTGTGCCTGGAACTTTCCACGTGTTATGTCTTGCTCATTTGCACAACGCTTCCAAGTAGGTATTATTTTCAGAACTTGGAAAATTACATTTCAGAGAACTTAGGCAACTTGCCCGAGTGCCTAGCACAGTGATGGCGAACCTTTTGAGCTTAGCATGTCAGCATTTTGAAAAACCCTAACTTAACTCTGGTGCCGTGTCACATATAGAAATTTTTTGATATTTGCAACCATAGTAAAACAAAGACTTATATTTTTGATATTTATTTTATATATTTAAATGCCATTTAACAAAGAAAAATCAACCAAAAAAATGAGTTCACGTGTCACCTCTGACACACGTGTCATAGGCTCGCCATCACTGGCCTAGCACATGAAAAGCTCTCCACAATTATGTATTGAACAAGTGAATTTGATTAGTGGCCGAGCTGGGGATCTGAACCACCTGGAGGTCAGTTTGATGCCCATCCACACAAAACCAGGAACCAGGGCAACAATCTGTAGCAGCTGCTGTTAGAAGCGGTGTGAGGCAGGGGACAGATTATAATTGCTGCTTTCAGCAGTCCTAGGGGAGGAGCTCTCTCCAAGAGAACAACATCTTCTAGGGCTGATTGGGAAAACACATTAGTGCTTGGTAAACACGAAATTTGGAAAAGGGGCTGTTTTAAATTCCCAAGCTAATAATAATCACCTGACAGCAAATCCCTGAAGTTGGCAGTTTGTCACACACCTGGCAGTTTGTCCACCTTCCCTTAGTTGCATACATGACGTCATTAGCCCAGGCAGCCATGGTCATGTACACTCCAGCATAAGTGAGTTAGCACCATAACCCTGGCACCTCCAAGCCCTGGAGGACACTCTCAGAGGAAGAGTTCTAAAGGGGCCTTTCCCTCTGCGGCTCCATCCGACAGACTAACTGGGGCGTTTTGGAGACCTGAGTCTGCATCCCAGCTCTGCTAGGCAGCGTCCTGGGGACAACTGAGCCAGGACTACAACAGGCTCCCGAGATGGCCAGCCGGCTCTCCGTGTACTGTCCTGGGGAGTTCAGGAAACACAATCTGTTTGCTTAAAAAAAACATCTGTGTTGCTTGGTCACCCTATCAAACACTCCCCACCCCACCGTGTTCTATCAACAGTAACCATGAAATGGATGTTTACCCTCTTTTGTCTTGAAGAGAGAATTACATTTAAAAATAATTAAGACAAAGGGAGCCGGTTGAGGCGCTGCGTGTGTGCTTGGCGCGCACAAATACATTTTACATGTGGCCCTACGTGTTTGGAAGTTCATTTTAAGTACAACATATGAATCGGATTTCATTTCCTATTAGACTCTAATTAAGACTGAGACTCGATTGTCAAGGGCGGGGAAAAAAAGGACACATATGTAATACCCTTTGTAATACTTTAAGCAATAAAAAAATTAAAAAAAAAAAAAGACTGAGACTCTTCATTCGCCGGGCATTGGGGACCTCACGAGTGCACGAATGAACGAAATAACCACCAGCTATGAACAATGAGTACTAAGAGCAAAGATGGTAACAATGAATAACCAGCTGTCACGCTGGTTAACAGCACACGCTCTAAAGCCCTATTATCCAGCTGGAATCAAAGCCTCTCAACTCCGCAGCCGGTGACCTCGGGCGAGTTATCTACTGCCCC